AGGGAAAGGGACTCTTCATATCACTGGGGCCATATGACACAACACTGCCAGGCATCACAGCATTTCTACACCACACTCGACCTCTAAAGGAGACTGTTCTCAAGGTGGTTCAAGACCTCCTGCACATAAGTTTATGGGTCCCAACAAGATGCATCCCAGAGTCCTGAAAGAATTGGCTGATGTAGTTGCCACTCTCCATGATATTTGAAAAGTCATGGCAGTTCGATGAAGATATAAATTTGATAGGTAGACTGTTTAGTGGATGAAGAATTGGTTGGATGGTCGCATCCAGAGGTAGTGGTCAATGGCTCGATGTCCAGATGGACATCACTGTGGAGTGGTATCCCTCAGAGGTCTGTACTGAGACCAGCACTGTTTAACATCTGTATCAATGACATAGACAGTGGGATTGAGTGCACCCTCAGCAAGTTTGCAGGTGACACCAAGCTGAGTGGTGAGGTTGACATGCCTGAGGGACGGGATGCCATCCAGAGGGACCTGGACAAGCTTCAGAAATGGGCCTGTGTGAACATCATGAGGTCTAACAAGGCCAAATGCAAGGTCCTGCACCTGGGTTGGGGTAACCCCCATGTATCAATACAGGCTGGGAGATGAAGGGACTGAGAGCAGCCATATAGAGAGGGACTTGGGGGTAATGATGGATGAAAATATGGACATGAGCTGGCAGTATACACTTGTAGACCAGAAAGCCAACTGTATCCTGGGCTGTATCAAGATGTATGAGCAGCAGGTTGAGGGGTTGATTCTGTCCCTCTACTCTGCTTTGGCCAGATGCCACCTGGAGTACTGCGTCCAGCTCTGGGGCCCTCAGCACAGGAAGGACAGGGACATGTTGGAATGGGTCCTGAGGAGGGCTATGAAAATGATCACAATGATGGAACACCTCTCCTGTGAGGAAAGGCTGAGAGAGTTGGGGTTGTTCAGCCTGGAGAAGGCTCCAGGGAGACCTTATTGCACCTTTTCAATACTTAAAGGGAGCTTATAAGAAAGATGGAGACAAACACTTTAGCAGGGCTTGTTGCAATAGGACAAGGGGTAACATTTAAACTTAAATAAGGTACATTTGGACTAGATATAGGGAAGAAATTTTGTACAATGAGTGTGGTGAAACATTGAAACAAGTTTCCCAGAGAGATGGTAGATGCCACATCCCTGGAAACATTCATGGTCCGGTTGGACAGAGCTCTGAGCAACCTGATCTACTGGAAGATGTCCCTGCCCATGGCAGGGGGGGTTGGACTAGATGGCCTTTAAAGGTCCTTTCTAAGCCAAACCGTTCCATAATTCTGTGATTCTATGATTCAAATTGCAGATGGGAACTGGGCACAGTTTTGGACCGTGCTTGTTGGCACAGGACCCCACCATGACAGGCTTGCTCTAACAACTGGTAGGGCAGGCAAGAATGCCCCACTGCCTGACAGCAATCCCTGGCAAAGTTTTACTTATAATCAAGCAGCCATAGCATATGACAATCTTTTGGGTTTGGGGCTGAGAACTGCAAAACTGAAGAATATTAGTCCATTGAAGAGTTATGAATTGCTCAGCCTTACATTTCAACCACCAATGGAAAATTAAGAACAACAGAAAACAGATTGGGCAGCATACAAACAATAGAGTTTCAAGTAAAATATATGATGATTGTGCAATGTCACCGAGGTAATACAAGATAATCATTTTCAATCATTACTTAAAGGGATTCAATTGCAAATCTAATGTCAGAACTATTTGTGAGAAAAAAGCTGAGCAATCACAGTTGGCCCATGAGGACAAAAGTCATGAACTGTAGATCTCAAGAAATCACCAATAGAGTTCAAATAGACATATAGATGAGGCTACCTGAATGCTTAATGAGCTGAAGGATCTTGGCCAAATGTGACCCCCTTGTTTCTGATAATACAAGGAAAGGTTAAATAATATCCACTTCAAAAGAAGAACTTTAAATTCTTTTCTGAAAGGTCATATGCAAATGTGAACTCTTCTTATTTTAAAATGTATATCCCAATCTTTGCATTCATTATGCTGAATTTCAGAGCAGGAGTAGGAAGACTGGGGAAAGCAGCCTAGAAAGAGCTTTAATACGGTGACTACATTGAGGAATTGAGTCTATAGTTATTCAGGGGGAAAGGGGGCTAATACTGCTATGTAAATGGACATTCAGTACATGAATCTGGTGAACCATCAATGAAAACCATTTTACAATGCAAGCATATCACTACTAAACAGAGCAGATCTGACACAGTGATCATTAGGCCAGTAAATATGGAGACAATAATGTAATTTTAGCTACTTTTCAGAGCTCTTGCCTTGAAAAGGAACCTGTTTACCTAGTAGATTTTCATGCCAGTGGCTAAGACACATAATCAGTAATGTGAACTTGCATGCAATCTCTAGCAGACTTGGAAACAAGAAGCACGAGATCCAGTGCTCAGATTTAACAAACATTTAAGATAAAGGAAGCAGGGTCAGTACATAACTTTGCATTGCACCTAACTTTACACATCAGCACAAAATAAATTATCTTCCAAAAACATAGAAAGAACCATTTTTCTTAGAGAATGACAACTTCTATTTATATTTATAACCCTCCCTCAAAACAGATGTGTTGCTTCAAAGCAGTCACTAATAAAACATCTGACAATGCACTATTTATAATCACATTATTTATCAGGGAGAGAGTATTTTCACTGGATATACTGTATAGTTTAAAAAGACCTCACATGTTGATATACAATCAGCGACAAAAAGCATACTCCTTTGAAAAATATGAGAAGTACTCACTTTATTTTAATACTGGCAATGAAACAGATATCTTCGAGTTATCTTAAAAGTTCTCTCATCCTGAAATGACACTCTGGTGTATTTTACACTATCCCATCAGCTGCTGTAAATAATATCCATCTGCTACACTACTGTGTCAGTCAGAGACCCTCAAATGGGCAAACCCCACTTCTTTTTCTCTGAGAACATTTATCACTACAGGAGACTAGTATGAGGGCACATAATTTTATTCAAGGGAGTGGAGTTAAAATGTTTTCTTAGGTGGCTTGAGCTGATTCATGGAAGGTAAAATACATCTAAGAAAGCTGGGCTATAGATATGATTAAATAAATACAGAAAATCTGTATTTTAGAAAAACCTACTTTGTAAGTTTTCAGAAATGGAAATAAAAGCTTTACATCAAAATGTACTGGTTACATTTGGCAACCTCTCAATCTCATCTGCCAAAGAGGTGGGGAACTCTAGGTATTTGAAGGAAGTGTGCCTGTGTATTAAGTTACACTTGCATTACTCTGTTCATTATATCATTATGTGTTTCGACTGTTTACCACAACTGAGGCTTTTTTAAGGAATGAAAGGTATTTGGGTGCAACATTGCACATGCAGTAAAAAAAAACCAGTAGCTGTAGAACCAAAGATAGTGCTTTATGCAGTGTTCATAATGACTGACATGCAAGAACTAATTTGGAGAGTAATGGATGCACATTATCTCAGGTACTGTCACCTTGGAGTCTGATTACTGTAAGCAGAAGCTGCCTGGGGAATGAAAGGATTATAAAGTCTTCTAATTAATATTAGAATATTGGAATTAATATTAGTGAATAACTGGCCATCTCCAATGCTTGTAAACATTCATTTTCAGTGAACTGCTCACTTTGTTTCACGGACAGTGAAATGGCTATTTATTTTCCAGTCAACTTATGACAAGGCATCCTTGTATGTAAGAAGACATTTCATCAGCTTTTAATGACAGTTCTTCTCACACTTTCAAGCATCTTGGTCTCTTAGGCAACAGCCCCAGATTTTTCTCTGAGAAGAATTCCAAAGGTTTGCAGCCAGAGTCGGCATGCCAGAAACCTTTTGTCACAGGAGGAGGCTGATGTGTCAGCAGACCACAGGTCTTTGCTCCTCCCTGCTCCTGATCGTCTGACACGTGGACCCTTGTGAATAGACACAAGATGATATAAATCAGAGGTTCTTGTGTTCCTCTATACTTATGGCAGGGCTACAGCAGGAACAGCTGCTGTTTGAGGATAGGGAGCTGTAACCAGCTACTTGACAGTTGTCTTCTGTTCCCAGCCTAAAGGATCTTGGCAGAGGAGGGACTCTCCTTCTATGTGCACAGGGTAGCTGGTGGCAGGGAACTTGAAACAGCTAAAATAAAATGCTGATCAGAGTGGCCAGTAAAAACGGGCTTATCTTCTTTACTTGAATGTGATAAGAGCTCCATGACAGATGCTAAAAAATTCATTCATTTCCATTCAGATGTGGTCTTCTTGTGTTTGAGAACTTTTTTTAATGAAAATATTTCATTTTATGAGGCACTTCTATCATATTATGGATTCATGTTGAATACATACAAAATCCAACATGTTCTATGGTTTTGGGAAGAAGGGCTGGTTTGCTGGAAGATATTTTACTTATAAAATGTCCATGAAAAGGATGAGAAGAGGAACATATGCAGCCTCAAGGGACCATTTTACCCCCTTCATGTTGTACTTATAATAAATTTTGAAAATAAATTAAAACTTTGCTCTTTAGCTTTTTTTTTCCCCCTCTAATTTTGAGTAAATATTTTTCTAGTAGACTTGTCCAGAAGTTTTGCATGGTGCATAAAATTGTCTTAGAGGCAATAATTTCTTACAGAAAAATAGACAAAGAGTAACAGAAAACATATTTTTGTGCAAAAATTATTAAATATTAGCAGTGATTTTCCTTTTCCAAAAAAATGACAGTATGTTTGTTCAGAATCAAATAACAAAAGATTCTCTCAGCCAAGAAGGAAAAAAGTATAAATCACAATGTTTTGTGATGGTGAAGGTGACCTCTTATCATGGTCTAGCTTCTTGTCATAGCTGCAGAAGATTGAAAGAGCCCATGACACATCTCTCGCATTGCTAAGCCTGAGAATCTCCAAATACAAAAGAAAGTTTGAAGAAGCCTAGTTTATCTTAAATATTTTGCTGATTTTTAAAAAAAGTTTACCTTTGAAAATGCAACAATTTTCAAAGATATTGTTGCTAAGTACAAGGAGTTCATTACAAAATCCATGAGGTTCCACCAGTCATGAATGTAGTCCTGTAGTCCACCATCCCACATCTGTTTAATTTCACCCCAGATAAAACCTGTAAATAGAACATAATTCATTAAGCATGAATATTAAATAAAAAAGCTGTGACTATTATAGACACTTATCTCACAATGGATTGATTGTCCTTACATTAATTACAAAAGGAAGGGGGATAAATGCTCCAAATTGCACATCTAGTTAGGTGAAATTTTGTCTTCCCATTAATGTTTCCAGAATTACTTTGTCAGGCAAAACAAACAAACAAAAAAATCATCTGCTTATACAAGGGCAATTTCTTTGTCTTTCTTCAATCTCATTTCCCATCGTATCCTAATAAGTGTAAAAAGGCTCTTAAAACCAGTCACCACTGCCAAGTATGTCTTTGGTATCTGCTGCAATATAATCCAAACTGGAAAATTTATGTCTGTGGGAGTCAATCCAGCACATTAATTTATTTCAGTTGGAACCCACACAATAAGGAGGATAATTTCTATTGTTGTGAGTGCTGAACTGAAGTGTCCCTTGTTCCTAGGAAAGAGTAGTGTCTCCAGCAGAATATTCTTTGTTGATTCCTGTCTTTGGGACATGAAGGAATAGAATCTGTGTTCAGGTGTGCAGAGCACACATTGCACTGGACACAAAGTGGTACAGGAATATTCAATCCCAATGGGAAATTTTGCAAGTTGTCTGACATGAACTTGGTTCAACAGCTCCAGAGACAACTGTGTGGACGCTAGTGCAACAAATATTAAAACTTCTCCAAAGAAGCTACTCGCCATTATTGTATAATATAGTATGACAGACCAACATGGAACATTTCGATACATATTTCGTATTATAATCTACAGAAGTTTTTTTAATAACAATACCAACAGAGCTTTTAATTTTTCACAATTCATTAATTTCTTACAGGAATTTATTACTTTTGAGCTCATTAAAGGGATAAAATTCACTACAAAATAGACCAGTCTCTCACATATGGATGTTGAGATACAGTTAATTCAACATGGCTTTCCTCCACCTGCTTATTACATGTTCCTTTAGAAAATCTTGAACAATTTTGTAGAGGCCAACATTTAGATGGATACATTTAGATCTGGTGCTTAGGGACATGGTTTAGTGGTGGCATTGGCAGCGTTAGGTTAATGGTTGGACTCAATCATCTTAAAGGTCTTTTCGAACCTACGTGATTCTATGATTCTAAGTGCCATCACACCTTCACAGGGCTACCTGGCAGGTTCTAAATGCCATGAAAACCATTTACTTTTCAAAGAGCTGGTCACACCTGACACACAGTATGAACATGATGAACAGCAGGTCTGCACCCCTTCCCTCCACAGTCCTCTCCAACCTTCAACATACAGTAAATGTACTTTCAAATATCCCTGCTTCCTCTTCCACTACCTTTTAAGCATAACATATTAAACTTCATCAGGTCATACGAGCAGCTGTGTTGTGGGCTGCAATATAACCCTCAAATTTCAGACACTGCTCTGAATTAGCCCTGCTCCAGTAGCAGAATGGCACATAAAAATAACTATTGTGCTTCAGGAGCCTGAGGAGACCTGGCTCCAGGCTCAGAGGAGACCTGGAGCCAAAAGCTGTGTAATACAGATATGGCCCCTAAGCCTCAGTGTTAGAGAACAGTTCCTTGGTCTTTTTTTATTTAGTAATACAGATGTAGCCCCAGGATCTTAACACTGGGAAGACTGCTTTGGCACAGAAAGTAGACAGTTGCATTGATAGAAAATAAAAAGGCTTTACAGAAATCAGTAAGGATTCATAGAATTAAGTAAACTTTTGTGTAATTCATGCCAGTTAAGCATTCTCTTTAAAATATGCTTTCAAACAGAGCAGAAATAGGTCAGGATGATTAGTAATATGAATTTTTAAGAGAGAGGGTGTAGATTCATTAATGTCTACTGCTGAGATATTCCATGATTCACAACCAGCCAAAGACATGAACGGACACAAATGAAACAAGGCTGTTCTCTGTAAGACTGTTGCTCAGCATCATATGCTTCAATAGCGCTGCCTAAAATATAATAGAACTATGTACAGATTGTAAAAGAAATGCTGACTAATGCTCCTGGATTTGATCTGTTTTGTAAGTGAAACCCCAGACTGTTCTTCCAAGCTTATCAGAAAACAAAAGTGTAAAGTTGACACTAATAGAGAGAATTACTGACCTACTATAGAACAGTGGAAGAATATGTCTATTGTATATAGGGTCATTTTGAATTAGAAATACAACTAATCCAAACTACCAGTAATGGTGAAGTTGTTAGGCAGCTGAAAGTTTGAGTATACTTTGACATTGTGGTAGTTCTAAATTTTTTTCTTGGTTCAAGATAACTCTTATGTTCACCCTGATGCAGGGCCTGTTTTTTTCAAACAAATGATTATGGAAAACTGGACATCGTACATTTTTGCTGGTTGTACTGGAGATATGATAGTTTAGTCTTTGCCAGACAAAGCATCTAAGTACAAAATTCCATATATACAGTTACTGAGCTCGTATGGGATTTGAAGCAAGGCTGACTGATGGATGCTATGTTTTTGACAGACACAATCCATGCATGCAGAGTAGAGCTTCCCAGACAAGTCTTTTTGAAGGAAAAATCTTTGAAGGTACAAAATCCTAAAGTCGATTGCCAAAATCCAAAACTCCAGGGCAATATCACTATGAAAGCTGTGATCAGAGTCTTTGGAAGTACAAAGTCTCTATGGCTAGTTATCCTGAGGGGTGCTCAATTATAACAATGAATGGTGGAAGAACTGGAAACTCTGGAGTTCTCTAAATTCTCCCAGGTGTGCCTGAAGGCTTGTCGTAGAAAAGAACCCTCGGAAATCCTGAAGCCTTTCTGTAAAGTGGAAGACTCCTTAAGGCCTAGATGATGGAGATACTCTGAGCAATGAACCTCAGGGATTCCAAGTTGTGCTTTTTAGGGTTAATTTATGTTCATGTAGCCAGTGGTCTTGAAATCTTGCTGAGGATCATAACTATATTTTTTTGCAAGAAGGAAGGGTCGGGGAGGAGAAGTCAGTCAGCACTTATCTTCACAGGGTCTAATATAATATGACAATTTTGTTCTGTTATATTCATTGGGAGAATCAGGAAAAGGCTAGGAAAATTTATGTATTTTTTAAAAGAAGAAAATACCTCCAGAGTTTAGGGCACACACTTACCTTTTCTATTTAGAAGACTGGACACAACCTGACTTTATTATCTAAGGAGTCTTTTGGACAATTCCAATATACAATCTGACATGATAGAAGACATGCAGTGACAAGCCTGTCTTATGGGTGCTTTGTTACTGATAGGAAAGAGATCTAGAGCCCAGGTATTGTCTAGTTATTAATGTGCCAAAGCACTGTTATCACATGGTGACAGAGCTCATGTCAGAGCTATGTGTTCAGCACCAAGAGAGATGACATCTGAACAAAGAAGAGTGAACATCACCAGACTGTACATAGATACTGGGGAAAAACTGCTAAGAGCAACCAGTCAAATACAAGGAGTAGATATAAAAGCAAGAGCCTTCAGATACTCAGGCTGGGGACAAGTTCATTGGCCAAAGCTCTTTCTACTTCCCTGGGAGGAAACAAGCATTTCCAAGGCTTTAATCCTGTCACCTGCAGGTGGCTCAATCTTCACATTGACTGAAAAGGGAGCCATGGAGAATAAGGCTGAATTAAAACAGATGTCTAACTTCCAGGTGCCTCTATTTATCTGAAATAATTCCACCCAGAGCAGATTTCACAGTTTTAGATGGATAATCTTTGCTATATTGTGGTGGTCTCTTTGCTCCAACTGTGTCCTTCCTATCTCTTCACACCAGCTAGATCTCACACCTGCCTCTTATACCCTCACCCATCCGTTCCCCATCAACATGCTTTTATCATTTATTGCCACTTGAAAGGAAATTATCAACATTATGCAGCTCTTCCACCTCATTAATCAAGGACTTATAATTGAAAAGTTGAAGGCGAGACTTCAAGCATTTGTTGCATTGTTTATAACTAGATACTAGAGCAGTAAAAGAGAAGTAACAGCATGGATAGTTTGAAACAGGCTGAGGTGATAGAAACAAATTTCATTAAACACCCTGTGGTTTTAATGGGAGAAAATAGACATAAATTCAGGTCAAGAATCTCACAGACCCCATGAGGCCCTAGGAATGACAGAGACTATGGAGAGGTTTTGCATAGCACTGTGAAGTATTATATATGCAAACTGATCAGTGCAACCATTTGACTGAAGCCCAGTTTGCCTGAGGCAAGAAAGAAGCTAAAATAGATCAGGTGAAATAAATATGGAAAAAACAACAGAATTTGTGTGCTAAATGTATTTTCTGTCTGCAATAAACTTTTCTGAACATTAATGAAAGAAGTTCTCTCTTCTGAAATAAACACTACATATTGACTGAGTAATGGCTACCACATAATACGTATGCTAAATCTGCAGATTTTTGTATATGTAGATACATTAATACATAAACACTAATAAGACTAGCTTTTATTTTACACATTTATCTATAGACAGATTTCGAAGCTATATTTCCAGTTTTGAAATCTTTGGACATTAGACACAAATACCTTTTTAAAAATATGAACTTACTTTTCTGTTCATAATGTAAGACTCAGTTTGCACACTCACACCTTGAAACTTTAAGCATGGCAACAGCTCAATACTATTATGAATGTTCTCTGTCCCTTTGGATAAAGACTTGGGTTAGACATAATAAGATTTTGTGCAGGCTGGCAGATGAGTTTCAGACGGTAAAAATTCTGGATCTATCCTGAGTGATCTCATCATCAATTCACACCTTCCTCTGATTTTACACCTAAGGAACATGTCTCTCATGCCCATGCAAAATAAACAAAAACAAACAAACAAACAAATTCCTTTATAAAATCCATTCAAAGATGTATTAAGTTCTAAGACAAAAAATCCTAGATATACCTTGTCTAACTTCCTTACTGAATCCTGAGCAATTACAAAAATCAAATACATTTTCCATTAGCTGTGCAAATTCACAAAAATATTATGCC